GAGCAGCACTAATCTGTGTTACACAGTCTGGGGGATTCCAGCCAGCTGCACAAGGAGTGATGACCTTGGCAAAGAACACGTTTTTTTTTTTTTTTTTTAGTCGCTGGAACAAACAAGGAGTCAGAGATGAGTGTCCACTGGTCTGCAGATAAATGATTAACTTACAGTAATGAGCAAAGGAGGGTTACAGTTTAACATGAAGGTGCAAAATAARGCACGTACAGTACGCTCAGTGTGTTTGTTCATAAAATATCTGACAAACCACTGGACTGGTTTGAATTAATTTGCACAAATCATTACCCAGAAGTGCAAAAAAAAAACACATTTATTTACAATTTAAGAGTGAAGGAAAGCGGTCCATCAGTATGTTATACGATATGGAAGCTTGAACCATTCCATGGATTTAGAACATTTTGCTGGATTTGCTGATGAAAGCACAAACATTGGCACAGACCAGGACGACCATACAAAGATTTTTAGCCTTCAAGAAGCTAATGTGAAATTATRGCGGTAGTTTAAAATTAGAACTTTGTTTGTAGGCAAATAATGATTTTAGTGTCTACAGTATGTTAGTGTTTTTGCAGAGGGTGAGTTCTTGCCATTGTAGGTGGCGGCCATTTGAATTGACAAAATAGCCACCACCAGAATGATGAAAGTTGTAAAACACTGGCTGTGTAAATCTATGAAGCTAAAAGTTTGAAATGCCACAACGGAAACTGGAATTCATTTTACATAGACAGAGGTGCCAAGTAATGAAGTACAAATCCATTAGAAATTTAGGTTATTTGTACTTTACTGGAATATCCTGATGCATCCCAGTAATCCGGTAGAAAAAAATCAAAAAGAAAAAATAAGTAGGTCCTCTGGATGGGTTCTTCTTTAGTGAAACATTTTTTCTCTCCTCAAAGATACTTCTTCAGTCTGGTGAGTTTCAGGTGAACAGGGAAAGGAAGCCTTYTAAGCACTGCACATGCCAAAAGAGGACCATCGCCTAACAATAGGCTATTGTAAGGRGATGGCCCTCTTTTGCATGTGACTTACCTGTTTGTCCAGGTGGAGGCAGTGCTTATAAGGCTGAGTTTCACCTGAAACTCATCAGATTGGAGGAGAGACGAAACGTTTCACTAAAGAAGAACCCATCCAGAGAACCTACTTATTTTTTCTTTTTTATTTACTGGAATAATTATTTTTAATCTACTTTTTACTTTGACTTCTTACATTTTTATGCATACACTTAAAAATGCAAAATGTTTTTCATTTCTATTTCACTTTGACTTGTTTTTGTTACAACTCGTTCAGAAAGAAAAAGAAAAAAGTAAATTCAAACATATGGCGCCTCCTGATAGAGTGAATTTGATTGTTGTTGAATAAGAAATTTAAATATGTACCATTCTGACTCCTTATTACTTTGTACGATCCATCAAACTCCAGCAGGACATAACAGACATAGCATATGAAGATGACCATGTCAGATAGATATATGGCTTGAAATTTTTCAACATTAACATTTTATTATATTTTGTTGTCATTA